ACCATCACGACCATCACGACCATCACCGACCATCACGACCTCCACGACCTCCACGACCTCCACGACCTCCACGACCACCACCACCACCACCACCACCACCACCACCACCACCACCATAACCACCATTACAACCAGAGCCACCATCACTTGCCAGAGCCACCCGGGCTTACGAGCCTTCGTTTCCGTCCCTATCGACGTTTCCATGCCGACTCGTCGTCGTCGTCGTCGTCGTCGTCGTCATCGTCGTCGTCGTCGTCATTGTAGTCGTCGTCGTGTCGCCCTTGCCGTTGTTGTCATGAGCATGTGCCCACCCAGCCTCGCCATCGCCAACACAAGCGTGATTGTCGTCGTCATCATCATCATCATCATCAACATCATCATCATCATCATCTTCATCATCTTCATCGTCATCGCCGTCATCATCATCATCATCATCATCATCATCATCGCCATCGCCATCATCGCCATCATCGGCATCATCACCATCATCGCCATCACCGCCATCAGCATCGTTATCATCATCATCATCATCATCATCATCATCATCATCACCATCATCATCATCATCGTGGTCGTCGCAGTTGCCATAGTCACCACCATCATTGTCAGCATCAGATCAGCATTGTCGTCGTCATCATCATCGTCGTGGCAATGATCAGCCCCATCACTGTCCTGGCCGTTCCTCTGCGCTGCAACCCAAACCTTTCATTACAAGTAGCAGCGTTGTCATCATTCTCATGCCATTTCAGAATCACGGACATCATCATCATGATATCAGCAACATCATCAGCATCAGCATTATCATCACACATCACCATCATCACCATCATCAACATCATATTTTTCATCATCCTTGTCATAGTCGCCATCGTCATCAACGTCATCGTCGTCACCATCTTCATCCTCGTCCTCTTTATCTCCATCTCCATCTGCTTCGTTATCTCCGTCACCATATCCATGGCCATCTTTGAAGCAAGCATGCCAGTACCAGCGCTTCCAAAACCATTTTAGTCTTCATCGTAACAGTCACCGTCATGATTATAATCTTTGTCATCGTCGTGGCGACGAAAGTTGCACACCCATGTTGCCACCCGACAACCCTAGACTTACATCAGCAACCCAGCCTTAACCCTAACCTCCGCACCGTAAACCCCACACCCATACCTCAAAGCTGCTGTCCCTAAATGCCAATCCAAGCGCAGTTAGACGCGTGTGCGAGGTACAAGAAGAATTACAAACTGGACAAAGCCGAGGCAGTAAATGCAGATTGGGAGGTTTAAGGGCTTGGGGTTGAAGGTGTAGGGCTTCGGGACGAAGGGCCCGGCCTCAAGGCCATCTTAAACCCGCTTCCAAGCAGAAGATCTTTCTCTTTTACTGATGTTGACGCAGATGTGCTTGTATTCCTGATCGTTTTTTTGACTCTTTGTTGGGATTGCTTCGCACCTCGATAGTTTTGGTGTCAATTCAACATTCCAGAAATTCTGCCATCAGTGTCACTCACGTCACTGTAAGTACCGGCGTTTTTTCCAAATGGTCTTGCGCTGTGACTGGCATCCTTCGTAGCAAGCTCCGAAGCATAAATCCGGGGAGTTTAGGAGGTTATCAAGCACCTGATCAACGTCACTGGCCTTTCAGTCGCATCGTGCAGCAGTGCTATCTAGTTTGGTCACGATAAACACAGCTGGAACTTCTTCCAGTACCTCACTACCAGCATAAGTTCGGGTCACTGTTCCTACTAGCATCGTCATCATAGACTCATGCCACCAACACCAGCACCATGCCCACAGTCACAATCACCATCACTACCGTCTTTGCAGAGTTTCCAACTTTCAGCTTTCCTCTCCTCCTCCTCCTCCCCTGGCTCATGCTGCTACTAACTACTGCTGCTACTACTACTACGAC